GAGCTAATGAAGTGTGCGGCCATGGCGTGCACTTGGTGAAGAGACACCGGTTCTTTGGTCCGGTGGGGCAGAGGGCAGTGGCGCTTGGCAAATTCTCGGACTTGAGATGTCATTGGGCCGACGGTAGGGCACGCGGCCCCAATCATGCGGTGGGCAAAACCAACCGCCGAGCAAGTGAGATGCACCACTGAGAAGGTGGCTTGGTGGCGAATGGCGTACACGAGGTACAGCGCGAGTGTCATATCTTGTGCGGGCAGGAATGGAATTTTAGTCTTGATGCAGAATGAGCGGAACTGCTGCCAGTATGGTTCGTAAGTCTTGATCGTAGATTCCGCACGCGTTTGCAGCATCATTGTGAGCAATTGGCTCTACAGCGAGCGGAGTAATCCTGAAGCGATTAGAGAGGACGCAAACAAATATGTTAATGGAAGGAGATGCGCAAGGCCATCATCATGCTATGGGGGAGGCCGGAACCCGAGAATGCTGTGGTGTGCATGCCCGGTGCAAGGCATTGACTTCCGTGAGTAAGTTTCAGGCAATCACGGATCGGCGAGGCCCAGGCGGGTGGCGAGGGTTGGAGAAGTGGCCACCAACTAGCCCCAGGCCAGAAGGGGACGATGAGTGTCACTGAGGCTGATGTCCTTTGTGCGTGGTGAAGGACTGCCGGGATCAATTGTGGTGGTGGAAAAGCGAAACATTGTTCGTCAGCCCAGGATGTTGCGAAGGCATTGATCGCTAATGCCTTGGGATGTGGGTGTTCGCAGTAGAATCGGGGGAGCTTCGCATTCGCAGCACTGGCAAAGAGATCTATAGAGTGTGGCCCCCAACGTCGCTCGAGAAGATTAAACCATGGGGCCTTCAAGGTGTAGTCATCTCGGTCGAGAGTCTTCGAGAGCTCGTCCGCGAGCGTGTTAAGCTCGCGAGGTATCCATTCCATGATCAAGCGAATGCGACGAGTCATGCAGGTGCAGATGATGGCTTTGCATGCGGTAGTGAGAAAGCTGTTGCGTGATCCACCCTTTTTTAGAATAAAGAATACGCCCTGGTTGTTGACACGCACGAGCACATGCTTGTTCTGGATGAAGGTGGTGAAAGTTTGCAGTGCCCAGAGCACCCCCTCTATCTCACGACGAGTACTGGACGTGCCAAGTAGTTCCGGGGGCATGTTCGCGCAGGCCTTATGAGTCGTCGTGGAGAATGTGTCGAGTGTGGCCCCCCAGTTGTGCGCGCTGGCGTCGACGTGAATGATAGCGTTGTAGCTACCCCGAACATGAAATGGGGCTCCATTGAAGTGGTCTAACTCGGTTGACCAGAACTCCAACTTTTTGCAAGCACTCGGGGACAGTAACAACTTGCTGTTCCATGAAGACGCATCGTTGATGGTTTGTAGTAAGGCATGACTGAATGCTCGCGATGTCGCCCCACGGGCAAGGGTCATGGAGGCGAGCATGCCTGTGATGTGTGCGACTTGCCGTACTGGGACTTTGTGCTGTGCACGTCCTGCTGCCAATAATGAAGCGATGGTGGATTGCAGGACGCTTCGTCGCTCGGTGCCGACAGAAAATTGTCCCCGCTGGGTATCGAGCTCCAATCCTAGGAATCTTAGCTGCTGAGTAGGATGGAGATGAGACTTTTTGGCGTTGATCACGACGCGGACCCCTGTTGCTCGCCATCGACGTGCCAATTGCTTGATCAATTGAGTAAAGACGAAAGGCGCCGTCGCTAGTCCGAACAGAAGTGATCTGAAACAGTACGAACACCCCTCGAACTGAAAGCCCAAGAATTTCCAACAGGACGCGTGGATGTCAACGTGGTGGTAACCCGACTTGAGATCAATTGAAAACATCCAATCCCCCGGATGTGCAAGTTCCGCCACGCGAGATAGTCCTTCGTACTTGAACTTCGGAATGCACAGCTCGTTATTAACTTTGCGTAAATCTAGGATGAGGCGACACTTGTCTCGCTGCTCGACGACGTTGAGGGGGCTAATGCATGCAAGCTCCGATGCTGGCACCTCGATTGCTGCGCCGGTTTGAAGGAGGTCTATGATGGCTGATCGCGTAAAATCCATGTGAGCATGGGTTCCAGCATGATTGGAGCACTGAAATGGCTGTGGCGGTCCTTGTTTCCACGGCATCCAGTAGCCACGTTCGATAATTGATAAGATAAGGCTGCTCGTACACCATGTTCGCCACCAAGCCAATGCGGATCGCAAGCGCCCTCGCATGACGAAAATTGTCCTATCCGTCACTGCGTACTCGAAAGGGTCGTCTTGTTGCCCCAAGGCATGCATCGGCAGGCCTGCACATGGCAGTATACGAAAATGCAACACATAACAGTTAGCATTTTTTTTTTTTTTTTTTTTTAAATCCAAGCAAGCGTTGGCGCTCGAGTGGGATAACCCCACTTGTAAGCACGAAACCAGGACCTTTTTTTTTTTTTTTTTTTTTTTTTTTTTTTTTACTTTCTTGATGGCTCCCATGAAAGCCCGTTTCCAAGGACTCCTAGAATTCCTTTGCTAAAAGATCAACTTCATGATGCTCTGGAGAGCTTCTAGGCAAACGCCTTAGACCCCAAATGGTCTTTCCCCTAAGGGCTAGCCAACCGGCAATAAAAACCAGCCCAAGGGCACGGCCAATAGCCTTCATGCGGTTATGCGCCCCGTCGAGTTTAAACCACCGGCGCGGGTCCGTGAGGACCGTGCCCACCAGCAGGGCATGCGTTGGCAGTGTGGCCCGGCTGGCCACAGCGGAAACAGGTGCCGCGGAAGCCCCTTGCATTACAGCCAGGGGCCGTGTCGAATTTGCCACCAGACCCCGTGGGGCCTCGGCCTCCAAGGGAAGAACCGCGACCATAGGAGCCTTGGGCGCGGTTCATCACTGCCACATCCGCGAGCGCTTGCTTGAAGGGGCGCGAAGTCAGCACACTTTTCTGCTGGTACAGCTTGAAGCGGTGCGCCGTCTTGAAGTCGGAGGCGTCGGCGACTTGAAGGAGTTGGAAGCGATCGGCGATGAGCGCGTACGCCTCTTCGAAGTGCTCCGAGTGCTTCAGGTACGCGCGCAGGTCCTCCAGAAATTCCGCTTGCTCACGTACTCCGGCGTGGTGAAAAGAGGAGGCGGGAATGGTGGGATTGGTGGAGGGGAGTGGAGGAAGGTGCTCAACGGGTGCAAGAAAGTTGTTGTGTGCATGAGCCTCACCCGCTTCGTCTTCTGAGTTGCTACCGTCGTTGTTGTTGTTGGGCCCCGCATCAGCAGCATTTTCCCTTTCGGCGCGAGGGACTTCGTGTGCGTGAGCGTGACGCGCCAAATCGTTTCTTGCATTTGCGTTTTTAGCAGATGCAGAAATTGTTGTTGCTGTAGCCGTACCCGCCGGGGACTGCTGCTGCAACAGCGCCAAAAACGCTTGGACCTGGTCGTTGGTCAATGTCGGAGTCGATGCTGGGTCAACCGTCGCGTCAGACGAAGACCCCAGTCGGCGCCTCTGGCGCTGACGCAATGGTCCAGCCACAGGTGCTGGCGCGTGCACAGCGTCAGGCGCGTGTGGCACCACAGGTGCTGCAGGTGCCTCCGTCGCCACTTGCGCCACAGGCGCCGCAGGCGCCACTGGCGCCACAGGTGTCGAGGGGTGCTGCTGGTTGGCGTTTTGGTTGACTTCGCCACTGCGCAGCAACAAATCGACGCCAGTGGGAGCGACATCTTTGTCTTCAGCCCGTCGCTTGTTGCGGCGATCGCCCGAAATTTCACGGGCGTTCTTCTCGTTGTCCGAACGGTTCGGGGCGTTGCCGTTAGAAGCCTCGCAACGATTAAGCGGAGTGTTGGGCGCCATTGAAGCCTGGTTGTGGTTAAGAATGTCCGACAGCAGCGTAGAAGGAGATTGAAAGCGAGCAAGGGTTTTCACCCTCGCCAGGTTGAAGTCCGAAAAAATCGGGAGGGGACTGGAACCTCCGAAAAAATCGGGATGGGTCTCGGAACCAGGAATTGAACTTGAGCGATTGTAAAAATGAGAGGCGTGGGTGGGGGAAGAATGACCACAGCCCACATTATATATTCGGAGAAGGCGAATACCGCGCTTCGACGATGCACAAAATTGCATTACAGTCAGCTTCGCTTTCACAATACGCAAATTTGAAAGCGATAAACGCTTAGAATTTTTTCATATATAAGACCCTAGGATATTATGATAATCACCCGTAAAAAGGCTGGGGGGTATAATTATATGGTATACTTTTTAGAAGACCCGGGTCTGTTCATATTGACATTTATAAGAATGTAGTTTTGGAGCTCAAAGAAAAGATTTGGAGTTGCTCCGTTTTTAGCTCCTCCCTAAAAAACTCGAATTGGTCTCCACGCGGGCCGAACCCACGTCATCACAAACCCTATCTGGGAGCCTACTCCCATTGGCCACCAACACCACTTGGTGTTCACACGACAGCGCAGGGCACCGTTTGATGGCCTCGGCCTTCACACTCCATGCACGCTTCGTGCGTTCTGCAGTCCTGGAAAGGGCGGGATCTTCCAGACACCCCTACTGCATTCTGGCACGGATTATGACCATTTTCAATTGCTTGTTTGTAAAATCCACACTTCTCTAGGATCTGGGGGGGTCTTATAATGTTAGGGGCCATTTAGGGGGTACAACTCAGATGTACTCGAATAGAGTACCCGGGTCCGTATTATAGACCCGGGGGTCTACAACTGGGGGGGGTCCAATATACGGGGGATAACGGGTACGATTGACACGATGTAAATTACAGCACATCAGTCAGATGCTTCACACCCACTCCAATCTATCACACGTCATTCAGAACAACGCCCGCACGGAGCAACTCTCTGCGAGCCCTTTCACCAACCTTGCTTGCTTCCACCTTCAACTCAAGTAGCTTTGGGAAGCTTCCCAGCAGCCCCCCAATGCCATGTGCAGTGATAGACTCACACTCAACCATAGTCAGATGTGTGAGCATCTCCAATCTGCTTCTTGCAACCACCCGGTCTAAAAAGTCCTCACTGTGTTCCACGGTTAGGGCCACCAGCATGGGGCAGGCAGGCACGCAGCAGCAGCAGCAGCTGCTCCTCCTTCAGCCCGAAGCACGACACCAGTATGAGGCGCTTCAGCCGCCCAAACGCATCAGCAAATGAAAGCGATTCAAAGGACTGCGGCTGAGAGCCTGGGCTTGAAATGGCAGAAAGAGAGACGCGGGAAGTGGAGAAGGAAGAGGAAGAAGAGGAACAGGGAAGGGATGCAGGAGCGGAAGAGAGGCACATGAGAGGTGATTCGGGGGGGAGGGATGGAGGCAGCCAGGTTGGCTCGGGAGTGGTGCTGGTGAAGTGAAAGCCCCGGAGGGTCAAGGAGTGTAAGGGAGGGCAGACAACGTCCACAGGAATCCCACCACAGATGCCACTCGACTTGCTTCCCACGTTTCGTGCTCTTCTGCTGCTGCCCACTGATTTTAGGCTGCCCTTTAAGATCTTTCTGCCACTGTTGTTTCTGCGGCCTGACTGTTCTCCCTCCTTTGAGACTTCATCCCCTTGCATTAACTCCCGTTGTATCCCTCTTCCTTGTTGCAATGATATTCCTCCTCCCCTTTGCTCCGCTGTTGCACCTGCATCACCGATCACTGCTGCTCCAGCTGCTGTTGCTGCTCCTGTGGCTGTAGCACTCACACTAGCAGCAGCACCAACACCCGCCGTACCAGCATCAGCAGCAGCATCAGCCCCGTCAACAGCGGCATCACGAGCATCACCAGTTGCATCACCAGCAGTATCGGCATCACCAGCAGCATCAGCAATGGCATCACCAGCAGCATCAGCATCACAAGCATCAGCATCAGCATCAGCAGTTTCACGAGGCATGCGCATGGTCCTGAGACTCTCTGTCGCCGCGTTGCTCTGCTCATGAAACTGCTGCAGCAGCGACTCCATCACACCCAGCGCATGCGCCTGTGGGTCAACCGCAGCAGAAATTCCCCCAATCTCACCCTCATCGTCACTCCCTTGAGCCCCATCAGCACCATCAACAGGCAAGTCATGGTCCAGCACCATCCCATCAAAGTCTTCCAAACGAGCCAACCCCCCTTCGCCCTCGCCTACCCTGCTCCGCGTGTCCACAAACACGCCTGCAGTGGTGGCAGCTGCAAACGCCTCACTCAGTGCATCCTCCCGCGCGGTCGCCTCGTTTTTCTGCGACACCGCCACTCGCAGCGAGCGCCACGTTGAGATGCCCGCCCTGATCTTCCTAGTGGCGTATTTGATCTCGGACACGGCATCTCGGCGCTGTGCCCGTGCCAGGCGAGCCGAGTGAGAAGCGGAAGGCACGGCTATGTGGCACTCCTGGGCCGCTTTCAAGAGAGTGACCACGTCCTGGCTTGACTCTATCAGGTCCGCTCGGGCTGCTGCCGCCGTTCGAACGTCCACATACTCTCTGCCTTCCCCGTTTCTCGGGTTAACTGCCCGTACTATTGCCGCTGCTGCCTCTGCTTCTGCCGCAGGCCCTGCTGCTCCTACTCTTGCTAGTGTGGCATCAGCAGTAATTGTAGCTTCACTTGCTCCCTTCCCTCTGCCAACCTCTTCTGCTTCACTCCCCTTCCCTCTACCCCCCTCTCCAACCACCCCTCCTTCCTCCCCTCCTTCCTCCGTTCCTACCTCCCATCCAACCTCTCCTCCCTCTCCTTCCCTCTGCACCACCTGCACCACGCACACCAGCATACCCACGAGACTCTCCAAAGACACCCGTTGAAGCACCATCGTTCCCCCGCCCTCCCCATCTCCGTCCCTCTCTCCTCTGTCCTTCCTTCTCCACTCCGAGTCTAAGCATCTCCCTCACTCGGTGCTGCAAGTTTCTCCGCCTTTCCTTTAAGCGTGAGGGAGTGCAGGCCACTGCAGGGGGCCAGCATGCCCGGGCGGAAGGACGGCAGGCCTGAGAGGTCGAGCGTGTGCAGGCGGGGCGAGGAGAGGAGGAGGAGAGAGCGGAAGGGCGGGGCGCTGAAGAGGTGGTAGGTGGTGCCATGGAGGGCGAGGGAGGAGAGAGCCGGGTTGGCTTCAACCAGCGGTGCGAGGGCGTGGCTGGACACCGAGGGGCAGTCGTGGAGGGCGAGGTGGGTGAGCGTGTGGAGCGAGCGAGCGAGGGCGTGCATCTCAAAGGGGTCGATGGTGCAGGCGAGGAAGGCGAGAGAGGCGAGGGCGGGGAAAGATCCAGATTCCATCTGTCCTCCTTGACCCATCTCGAGCTCCTGAAACTTGCCAAGCTGACCGCCTTACCCTCCTCTGCACAAGATCTGGGGAACCTAGAAGTCGTTGTAGTGAAGGGGTGCAAATCGCTTGCGAGTGTGCCAAGGATGCTGTTGCAACAACACCGTTTGAAGCACCTCGTGTTGGATCACATTCAGTGCTTAGACCACATGCTACTGGATATGGGCCCTGCAGCCGCCATAGCCACTGCAACTGCTATAGCCCCTGCAGCCGCAACAGCCGCCGCAATAGCTGCTCCTGCTGCTCCTTCTACTCCCCGTTTCCCTTCTGCTGTTGCAACTGCTACTCACAACTATCGAAGGGAGTTGGGAGTTGGCCCCGTCCTCGCCTGGGCGGAGCCAACTTCGTGGTCGGGTGTGCAGGAGGTGCAGCTGACCGGCAGCAATGGGCGACGCCGGCTTGGGCGTCTGGACGACGGGTTGGTCGACCTGCGCCGGGCCACTGCAGAGCGGCCGACTTCAGGAAGCCGGTAGCCGACTTCAACCTAGTGGTCGACGAGGGGAGACGTCGACCTGGGAGGGGCGCCGACCTGGGAGGGTGCTGACTTTGGTAGGAGGTCGACTTGGTAGGTCGACCCTAGGAGAGCGTCGACTTGGTGGCGCCGACTTGGGGCAGCCGTGTTGGTGCGGTTGGCTGACAGTTGTGCTAGTCGACCTGGAGTTGGTCGACCAGGGGCGTGGTCGACTTGGTGTGGTCGACCGGAGGTTGTCGTCAACCTGGGTGGTCGATGGGCACGAGGAGGAGTGCCTGGTCGACGTGGTTGCCCGATATACCAGGTTCTGTGGAGGAGCGCGAGAACTGTTAAGTACTATGCGGAAGCGATTAAAACTGAACCACGAACTCAAACTTGGCAACACTTAACTTCATTTTAAACCCTCCGAGTATGACAGCATGTCATCTCATAGCCAAGGGCGTAGGAAATAATAAAATGAGTGGTTATGCCTTGCTTGATTTGTGGAGTGAGTAATCTGGTCGAGCAGCGTTTCGGCCTCACCACGTAATGTTTCTACTCTCGTCAATACGTAGTAGTAGAATTCAAGGCTTGAAAAGCGTAATTGCATTGATTGATATCAAGCAAATACAAGCACACATTTATATAAAGTCCTAAACACCCAAAGGAAAATATAAAACGGTTGCTTAACTGGAATCCAGGTTTTCGCTTTGCTGTAATTGAAAACGGTTGTGAAACTGCTGATGAATTTGGCTCAATCTGCCTCATTAGGGTTAACTGTAATCCATTTGTGTTGAAGCCAAACTCCCCTGCTGACTCCCGTCACAAATATTCATGGGTTCTCGTGTGGAATCATGGACACTCGTGTGGGATTCCCGTTCCCCAGTTGTAAAACGACTTTTACCGTTATTAAAACGGAATTCACCAATTTGTACCTGTTGAGAAATCATCACGCTAAACAGCGTGACTTTCGTGCGAAGTCGGCTGTTTCCAAGTCAGCGCGGGATACGGTTGGTCAACCGTAATCCCGAGGCACCCTCGGTCAAGAAGGAAAAGACGATCGCTGACGCGATCGTGCTTTGTCCTGCGCTTGACAGGGCCATAATGAGCCCTGTCTTGTTGCGATCGTGCAACTGTGCGCGATCACACGCGCACGGCCCTGAGGGGCCACACGCGACACACGCGCGGGCCCTGAGGGGCCACACGCGCATGTCAGGACCCCACGCGCGAGTCCTGACTTTCGCGCACTTTTTGACCAGCGCAAAATTGGTCAAAGGGCCGAGTCAAGAAAAGACTCGAGGCAGACTCCCCCGACACACTCGACTCTCGCCATCAGCGCACATGAAATTTCGTGAACTTTCATGAGCTTTCATGACACTCGGAACTTTCATCAACGCTCACGGTTGTTCATGAAAATTAGCGAACGAACATGAGTCATCACGAAAATTCATGACTCGTCATGATCCATCATGACTTGTCATGTGCCCCCAACAAAAACACATGAAACAGAATGCAGAAACAAATGCGCACAGAACACACACAAAATGCGGAACTCCATGCAGGCGTCCGGTAGACGTGCAAAATTAACATTTGCACCCAACAACAACCGCCCAGGTAGTTTTGGCGAAGCCGACCTCGGTAGTGGCTGATCAGGTGCAGCTATCAGCACGTGGACGATTTGGTGACTGCGCTGTGCAGGTGACGAGGCACAACACGCCAATCAGCTGTGAGCACCTACGAGGTAGGTTTGCTGCTGTCCTCCGGGTGCAACGCTGTACAGCCGCCTTGCTGCAACGTTGTGTCGGAAATTCCCTTACCTCTTCCTCTGAGGATGCCCTTCCCCTATCTCTCCCTCCTCTCTTCCCCACTCTCTGCCGGTTATCTCGTTTCATATGCACCACCCCCTTTGCTTTCTGGCTTCGCTGACTCCTGCCTCTGTAGTCGTTCCCCCATGCTTCCTCGCTTGGTGTAATCTCAGTGCTGACTTTACTCCTTCTGATGCTTAGTATTCCCTGATAAGCTTGCCGAGCTTACTCACATCTGCTAATGAAAACTACCTACATCACTCTCTCTAGATCTCCTGAGTTTGTTATGGCCTGACGCTCACTCCACGTGATTCTGAAGCAATCACATGAGTAATACAGAATATACAAACAATACAGAGTCAAATGCCCGTACCCCCTATATCCTAGCCTGCTTCCTCCCCCTATTACTACACCATGAACGCCCTTCGGAAGGGGATGGCCTCCCACCGAAGCGAAAGGACAGCCTTCTCATCCTCTTGCCACCGCCACTTAGCCGCCCCCCTGCTTGACCTCCAGCTCGTGCCTGTAACTCCAGCTGGCTCGGGCATCCAACCTGCAAGGAAACAAACATGCATTCTTCACACAAAGCAAAAGCTCCATCCAGTTGTCTCCCTTCCCCGCTCCCCCCATGCGACTGTCTGCTGACTCGGCAGCCCAACATCGCCCAGCCATCACCCGAGCCTCGGTCCCTATCCTCAGTACCAGCTCGCTCGCTTGCCTGTACAAATGTACATTATGTACACTCCCATTCTTTCTCCATAAACTTGCGACAGCTGTCGGAAATTCCCTTACCTCTCCCTCTGAGGATGCCCTTCCCCTATCTCTCCCTCCTCTCTTCCCCACTCTCTGCCGGTTCTCTCGTTTCATATGCACCACCCCCTTTGCTTTCTGGCTTCGCTGACTCCTGCCTCTGTAGTCGTTCCCTCATGCTTCCTCGCCTGGTGTAATCTCAGTGCTGACTTTACTCCTTCTCATGCTTAGTATTCCCTTGCCCCCTCCCGTGACTCTGTGCCGCCCTCTCCCTAGTCACGGGACCTTGATATCCTGCCGCTCCTCCGCCCGCACGAGCCACGTTGGTAACGTGGTCAACCGCTCTCACCCCTGCTTCGCTTTCCAGCACCAGCACACCTGACTCGCGCACTTCCTTCACTGTCCAGCGTTGCTGTGATAATCCCACATCCAGCCCATCCTTCTTAGGACGCCTGATGTACACCTCCTGTCCCTGTTGTAAGGCTTGTGGCTCTCCGCCCGCCCTCTGCTCCTGTCGCTGCCTGTAGTGATGGATATCCCTTAGCTGTGCCACATGCTGACTCTCCAAAGCCGCCGGCAGCAAACGCCGCAGATACTCTCCTCGGACTGCTGCCAAAGCTGCCCATTTGTCTGCCGTACCTGCCGTGACCACATCTGTCAGAACTCGCGGTGCTCCCACTGGCAGTACTGCCTCTCTGCCAAAGAGGAGATGGTAGGGTGATAAGTCCTTCAATGCTGCCTGCTTGCTGAACCTGTAGCCCGCCATGATCCAGTGGAGGTGCCTGTCCCAGTCTCGCTTCCTCGTTTCTCCGTAGGCTCGCAGCCCGCGCTTCAGGGTCTGAATGAGCCTCTCCGTGAGGCCGTCACTCTGCGGATGATACCTTGACGTGGTGCGATGTGGAATCAGGCAAGAGGCCAGGAGTTCCTCGAATTCCCCTTGAAACTCAGTGCCCTGGTCTGTCAACACTTCTCCACAAGCGCCAAAGCGCGTCAGCACCTGTTCTTCAAAGGCATCAGCCACTGCCTCTGCTGTCTTGTGGCTCACGGCCCTCACCTCCACCCACTTGCTCACATGCTCGATCATCACCACCACATATCGCCGCCCTCGCTTGGTTAGAGGCAGTTCACCCGCCAGGTCCAAGGACCACCGATAGCCCAGCCCTACGATCGGCAGAGGCTGAAGCTCTGCCTTGCTCCGTTCGAATGCTGCTCGATTCCTGATACATGCTGGGCATTTGGCGACCCAGTCCTTGATCTCTCTCCTCATTCCCGCCCACCACCATCCTGTCTACAGCAGCTGCTGTGTGCGGAGTGGGCCAAAGTGTCCCAGTTTGTTGTGCACCTCCTGTATCACTCCCTCCCTTTCCTTAGGCTCGGGCACCCTTTTCCACCCATCCTGCGTCCTGATCTGCACCTGATTCTGATACCAGCGGTAGTGCTGCCCCCTGCTCCGAGCCCTCGCTGACACCACCGCTCCCTCTGTCGTTTCTCCCTTCAGCCACGCTAGCGTCTCCGGGTCTTCCCAGACATCTGGTGCTCCTGCTTGCTGTTCTCTGCGCAGTGGCGTGGCGGGATCTGTCACCAATGCTGCCAGCGCCATCTCTGGCGCCACTGCCGGCGGATTCCTGGACAGGCCATCCACGTGCTGCATGGTCTTCCCTGGACGGTGCCGAATGGTGAACTGGTACTCTTGCAGCTTCATCGCCCACCTAGCGTTCCGTCCCGTGAGGCTTTGGTTCTGCATCAACCATAACAGCGGCTGATGATCTGTGACTAGCGTGAAGGGCCTGCCTTGCAAATACGCATGCCCCACCGCCCACACTGCTGCCAGCCCCTCTCCCTCGTATGATGAGTAATTGGCTTCTGCTGGGTTGCATGAGCGGCTGGCGAAGGCCACCACTTTCTCCTCCCCGCCCTCCTGGTGGCTCAGGATGGCTCCCATACCGGTGCTGCTCCAATCTGTGTA